CTGTTTCCAATAGTCTGAACTGAATGCAACTCAGTAGGTAATAATCCCAGACTGGTTTGTGTTGGAAGGGACTTTAAAGCTCATCCAGTTCCAACCCTGGAGCCTTGAACACTGCCAGGGATGGGGCAGCCACAGCTTCTCTGGGCACCCTATGCCAGCGCCTCAGCACCCTCACAGGGAAGACCTGCCTAATGGCTAATGCCAAATCTCCCCTCTGTCTGGTTAAAGCCATCCCCCCTTGTCCTATTATCTACTTATTTTTCCCAAGATAACACCAAACTGTGTTGTAGATGTTTGGAAATGCAATTATGCTACAGTCAATGGACTTAAATTTGGCAATGTATCAACATTCATAGCTTAAAATGGGCAATGAAACCGATCTAGAAATACACACAGAAAAATCAACTTCTGAGCTTGTAACTGCCTTATACAGCAAAAGGCATCAACATACATACATTAGGCTACACCCTTAAACAAGGTTCCTGAAGCAATTCATGGACACTGGTATTTTCTGGATGTGTGGTCTCTTTGTGTACTTCACAGTAATAGAAAATAGAAGATCCCCTCTCTTTGCGGACTCCAGCCTGTCCAAACCCTTTCCCTGCTACCTGCCCAAGACTTACCATCTTTAGTGGCTTCAGCTACATCTCCCTGACCAGACTTCTCATTCAAGTTGCTTCTGGACATAAACCATGGACTTTCTTAACAGGAGGAAAACGCATCTGGCTAATGCCAATGCTTCTGCCACTGACAAAGACATTTCTGTGGAAACACCAACTTCTGCATCATTTGGACTCCAATAGAAAGGCCCATGCTCTGTTCATCATCCTTCCCTAGGCACAGAAGTCAGGGACATCAAAAAAGCATACGATGATCATAGGCACTTTTAGCCAGGACAAAAGAATTTACACAATTATCCCATGCAATGTGAGGTCCATCTGCAGTACAAACTTCCCTGTGACATGAAAAGCGCTGTGTCAGTATGTACCATGGACCTGCAAGGAAACTGCCTGTTCCCAGCAGGGTCTCACACCTCTCTGCTCATAAAGGTTTCACCACCTGTATTTATATTTTAACTTCCTGTAAGTCTTTTCCATTGCAACAGTACTGAATTTATATTTACAACTGGTTCTAGACTCTGGAAAGTCCACGTGGATGACAGCAAGCTGATGAGTTCAGACAGTCAGCAGTGATGAGCGAGCAAATCAGTGTGGACAGGAGAAGAATCTCACTGACTCATTTTCCAAATTAAAATGCATTTCATTTGGAAAAACAAAAGAAATAAAATAGAATTTAAAAGAGGAGGCTGCCTCTATTTTGTGAAACAATGCCTTTCCATGTTGTAAAACAAGCATGCACCAGGAAGTAGCGTCCTGTTACACACAGGAGACTTCTTGCTGAGCTATAGACAAACTTGATTGTCACAAGGTTTGTATTTCACACATTGTCATCTACCAGCAAAATCAAATACCCACAACTTTTAGGGACTGGGAGGAGGAAGGGGATGAAGAGAGACAAAGGAAAGAACAAAGTTAAGAATGCATCATGCAGGAAGAGGAATTCTGTCCAGCAAAGCTGCCCATTGGCTCCTCAGCCCATGGAGCTGCAGCGGCTGTGAGCAGGCACAACCTGCAGCCTCCCACTTCTCCTGTGAAGGGCTGCAGGAGAGACCCGAGCCCCAGGACCAGCTCCCCTGTGCCCTGCTCATCACAAGGCTCCGTGCAGGGCTGGGCAGCACAACCACCGAGTTCAGACAGAAACCACCAGAGAGTGTTTTAAAGTGGGCTGTGGAGGCATGGAGCACATTCAAGAGTAGACAGTGAGCAGGAAGCGCCAGCTCCCCTTCCCAACAGTGGGCTGTATCTGCAGAAGAAAACATACTCTTCTCATGAAGGAAATAAAACTTGCAACTAAATGTGCATTTCAGTAAATCATTTTCATTCTGGGAAGAGTCAGAAAAGGAAAATACAGGTTTTCACACTTCCCAAAGGAGGATTTCATACTTGACCTAGTCAATGGGCAGGGACTCCCTATTACCCCCCAGAGGCAATATTACCCTCTCACTTCAGGGAAGCGAGATCAGTGATACAGACTGTGGCAAGGATGTTAGATATTACATGGCATTTATTTCCATACTCTGATACAACAGCAGTGCAGAGATGGACCAACCTAGAGCAATGTGGAATAACTATGAGGTTTAGATAGGTGAGCAGATGCTTCCCAAGAGCTGCTGCCCTCTCAAAGAACTACATCTCCCCAAGACAGGCCCATGTTTGCTCAGAATCCAGGTTCATGTTCAATTCAAGAAATAGTTTAAATTGCCCAATGTACTGGCTGAAGTAGAGGCAAAACAACATACTTTGTTCCTTCACAAAAACTTTGCATTTTAGTCAATATTAGACTATATCCGATTTTATTTTATAATTGGCTACAGAAGGTTATGCAAAACCCATCAACTCAATTTGAAGTATGACTATACCCCACTTCACCAATAGCAAAATCAAGCTTAATATGTGTCAGGTTTGCTATGTTCAGGACACCTACCAATAAATGTACAGCAGTTTGTAATATACTCATTTCAAAAAGAAAGAGAATCTCCCACATTCGTGCAACTGCTCAACTCTGGCTATTGTACAGAGGCTCAAAAGGCACTGCAGATTTACAGCAGCCAGGCACTTCCAGCTCAGCAACACAGACGTTTTCATGACGGCACTGACACAGAAGTTCTTAGCAAACACTTGCTCAACTGGCAAGGTCCAGGACTGAATGCTGGGGCTGAGTGGCCCAATCCCTTTACTGGTGTGGGCCCTCACTTTGATGTCGTAAGTGGTATCGGGCTTCAAACTCATCAAAGTGATACTTGTGTCCTCGGTGGTATTAAGCAGGGTGACAGACGTAGTGTTACACACTTACTCCTCACAGGAACGTTCTCAGAATTAATCCATACATGCCTGGGAGACACTGACACACCACTGTGACAGAGGCCATAAAAATACTGGGTCTCCGACGCCCGCGTGCTGCCTGTTGGAGATGGGCTGCTTCCAGCTCACCCGGATGGCAGTCGAATTCACAGACTCTGCCTCCAGCTTTCGAGGTGGGGCACTGGGCACATCCCCATCAGAGCACAAATGCAATATTCCAGTGACTCTTAACATTTGCAGGATGGCAGAAATTACAGATACACCCGACCTCTGAAGCCATGTGTACTCCTCTCCCCTTCCCTGCAGTACCCTGCTTGCCAAAGAGAGCCAGCCCAGCTCTGCTCTGGGGGTGGCTGGGCTTGTGCTCCTTGAACTGAAAATGCTCTTGATGCACATCACTGGTGAGAAGTGACAGAACGGCGCCTGCACGCATGGAACTGGGGGATAAACAAGCCTTTACTTAACAAAAGTAAGGGACCTTTACAATGCGTTCCAAAAGCTGGATTAAAAGATATTCGGTAATTTGATTTATTCTCCTCATGTAAAACACGGCAAGAGGAAAACGATTCTAAAAACATAGAGAAAATGGTGACCAGTGAATAAAACCCTGTGCTGTGGGAAAACACAAATGCTTTTTCCCAGGCTGTGCTGCTGAGCTTTCCAGACTATCTCAGAATTTCAGATGTGTCATACCTACCCGTGGGAAAATAAAGGTTTTAAATGCAGCATTAAAGTAAGAAGAATAGTGATTTTAAAACCCAAACAAGACTGCCTGCTGACACATCTCCCCTCTTAACAAAACCCGTAACAATCCTACTTCCCAAATCCCATTCCCACCCAATAAATTAAAAATAAGAGGACAGTCCGCACGTTTACACGTAAGAAAGAAGGTTGCAGAACCAAGTTCTAATGTTGTAAAGCACCATTCATGGTTTTCAACGTCCCCAAGGTATTCTACTATGTCCAGTTATTTGAGGTAGTGGCAATAAGTAACATTTTCTTCAGTTAAAAGACAAATGACTCCTTTATCTTTCCATGCCTAAATCAGATACCTGCTGAATCAATAGCCACATATTCAAAATGCAGTTAGAAAGCAATAAAAGATTCCTGACTGGATAGAAAGGATTAAAGAATCATAAATAAGATGCAACAGCTCTGCATAGCTACGTGCTTATTGTGCTTGTAAATGGAAAAGGAAGAAGGAAGGGTCTTCAAGGAAAGCAGCCAAAGGAAACTGAAGCAAATGTAAAAAGTATTTTAAGGCTATATTTAGAGGAAGACATTCTTCCTGCATTTGCCAAGCTGTGCACGTCATTTCACACAGCATGTTTTAGCCAGCTTTGTAAGTCTATGAGAGAGCGGGGAAGGGGGGAAGGAATCTGTATCAGTTGCCAGAAATGGAAATCTTACATTTATGTAGAGGAACAAATACTTTAAGCATGTGAATCCAAGACAACTTTCTGAAGGGGGGGAAAGGGGAAGGAGGGGAATGGGTGTGCAAGCATGGTGTTAAATTTTCTAGATACCACAGAAGAATTCTGCAGTATCTAGTTTATAAGTAACATGATTTAGCCTCTAATACTCCCTTTTGAGTCCAGGCTCACTAGCCTTACCTATACCACTAAAAGTACTCAAATGAGTGAATTTCACTAAATTCAGGTCTTCAGCTGGTGTGTTACAAACTATCTGACAACTTGCCCATGTTCATGCAGACAGGATCCATCAGTTACAGAAGCAACTAAGTACTTCTCTTCTATAATGCAGTAAATGACCATCTTGGATAAACAAACACCAAAGGCAAGCACAAAGGTGAAAACAGAAACAAAACTATTCCAGATTTGCAAGAATATGGTGCTTTTTCTTTAATGTGTTTAGCACATGTCACAAGGTTTCACTATTTGCATAAAGAAATGTCAAGCACACAAAAAATATGTCAGTACCAGATGTAATGGTAACAGGCATAAACCACGTGGAAATTTCCTGTTAGTGACCTTCTGGAGGGTGGGGATGGAATTCATTTGAGAGATAGGGCTGGTTTTACTTCAACTTACACAAATGACTTCTAGAAAAAGGTTTTACCTTCATTCCCTTCTCCAGGCGGCTGATAAAATGAAAGTCCCAAAGATATGATGGCTGCAATTTCCAAGATTATAAGAGTCACATCCTGCAAGGCTTCCCAGACTAGCTGTAAGAATGTTTTTGGCTTCTTTGGAGGTATAAAATTTTTTCCAAAAATAAGCTTTCTTTTTTCTAGGTCTGCAGCAGTGCCAGCTAATCCTGTAAAGAAAATAAAACAGCACACATTAAAATTGCAGTGGAATAGAAAATGCCTGCTTAGATCTGCATCCCTGCAAGTTATTTCTCCAAGAGCAATTACAAGCTGTACCACCTATGGCATATTAACAAATAGACAGATATTCCACTTAAATTTTGCCTTTGCAAGACGACACATCCTTACATTCTGAACAGAATCCTTATGGGCTGCATTTGGTACTCATTCCTAACAGTTTAAAGCATACAAAAAGTCAGTAGGTTTACTTTAATAAGACCTATGTATACAGATACATACATACATGTAAGCAATGACTTCTGAAAATAGCCCATAAAGCACAAACACAGTATACTGGGGATGTAGCTGGAATAGCCATTGGCAGCTTTTGGTAACAGCCACAGAAGCAGTATTACATATGTCTGTTCTGACCTCAGGTCCACAACCTTGAAGTATAATGCAATAAAGCAAGTCTCATTCTACTGCAGAGCAGCCTCTCCTGCTGCATTCGTACTGCCACACACCACTAGAACGAACTGTTGGTTAAGTGAACAAAGGCAGCAAAAGTGACAGGTTGCATATGCAAAGAAAGTAAAAAAGGGAATGATACGGTTCCTTAAATCAATATAAAAATCCATATTTTGCACGACACTTCAATTTAAGAACATTTCAATGGAAGGATACAGCGTAAGAACGTGCGGTTGCACTGAACAACCAACTTTGTGTTTTTTCCCCTATTTTAATGATATTAATCTATGCAGTCTAGCGCCTGTTCAGAAAACAAAAAGGACCTGCAAGTGTTAGGATGGAATAACTGTGCGCATCCTCCGTGCTCAGCAGCATGAGGAACTGCAATAAGATCAGTGGTTACATATATCAGCCAAAAAACATTTGACATCATTTGGAACATTTACAAAACTGAAGGTTTTGAACGTGCTCAGCAACATCAAGTTATTCACGCTTATTCACCCTAACGTGACATGATGACAGCACTTGAGTTGAGAGTTGGCCTCGGAGCTATACGAAGGTGCCTGCAATAGAGCAGGAGGAAACGATGGAGCCCACACTGTAAGGATTCAATCTTCACACAGTTTAGGGTAAGCCCTTGCTCCCTGAAGCATGTCAGTATCCGGAGGTACTGGCACTCAGCTGTATGTCTCATTCCTTCAGGACTGGTACAACTGTTCCCAGCAGTGTGCACGTGCCAGGAAGCCTCCTCTTGGATGGAAGCACCGGGCCCAAGCGTCATTCCCTCAAACGAAAGTGATGCTTTCCTGAACAGACCAGTCCTGCTGCAGTGCAGGAGAAGATGTCAACTCGCCTTTCACTGCGGGTATATGATTACAGCTGCTGGGTAGCTTCTGGCTCTTGGTTAACTCATCAAACTTTCATTTCACCTTCAGCTTTTAAGAAACGCTATCCCCCTCTCCTAGATAAAGGCAGGCTGTAGTTATCGTTACCTCACCTCATCTAATTTTCAGTGCCTGGTGCCACAGTAACAGCCAGGTTCCAGCTGTTAGTGTGTCTACATTATTTCTCCATGATTCAAACAATAACACGTCCAACCTCTCCACTCCTCCATGAGCTCCCAGTCAGCTTCCAAGGTAAACACTTCCCACTGCGAAACAGGAATTGCAAGCGATGAGCTGTTTGGGTAGCTGCCCTTCTGTGAACCAGCGCAGATCACAGGAGTGGGGACAACACACGGGAGGCACTCACCACAGCTGGGATCCCACACAGGGCCAAGCCTTCAGAGCCACCCACAGTACCACCGATCAGCTTTCAGAGGGCTGCAAAGCCTGCCAGCACAAGGAAGGATTTTCACTGCAAACAGCATGCACAGTGTGAAACAGGCCCCCAAAACATAACCTCGTGCAAATACAGCAGGGACTTCACGCATAAAGAGGAAAGCACACGGAAAGCACACGGACAGCACTGGCAGTGGTAAGCATTCAGGGCAAGCAAAACTCTGAAACGGGAAACTCCAGAGCACTTTGGGAAGTGGAAGGAAGAGATGTCTGACAAATGCCTCTGTTCCAGCACAGGACATAGGCGCAGGGTGGTGGGCCAGTTCCAGTGGGGAAGGAGGTGATAGGGTACTCAGCACCCTGAGAGGGATGGCTGAAATGGCACAGGGAATAGCTGTAGTCTTCAGCAATCCTGACAGTCTCCACCTAGACATGATGAACTCACCACTTGGAAATAGTGCTACAGACCTTCAGGAGGCCATAAAAAGTACACATACCCTGTGTACTGCTCATAATGCTCATACAAATACATGGCCAGCCTGAGAAGTCTCCAAAGCAAAAGACCAACACTGGAACTCAAAGAGCTGCCTTCTCTCTAAGATAAAAACTGTTTTCATTTAGTCCCCATAAGGTTGAGGACCAGACTGGATTTAAAGCATCTGTGGTCACAATTACCTTCTAGACTACAGTCTAAATAACCCATGCTGGAATTCAGACATAAATTTCACTTAATTTTTCTCTTTCATTTTTTAATACTAAATACTATTTTCTTAAGACCCCTGAAGAGACACGGGTAAATCATGTGATTCTATTCTTTTCTGTAAGTCTGTGTCTTGGTGAAATTATTCACCAAGTCAGTGTCACCTAAAATAAACAGCACGTTCAGCTTCAATTAGGAAATCTGTTTTCTTGTAAGTCATTCAGAAACACTGGAAAATCAAATGCAATGTTTAGTTCAAGCCAAAAGGTTTCCCTTTTCCTGAGATCTGGCCATTGCTCAACAAAGCTCCTTCAGCAAAACTGTGTTTTCTTGTTTTCTTATCTCCCACTGAATGCCAGAAACTAAAATACTGCATTTAGAGAGAAAGGGAAGGAGAGAATGCAGAAACCTGCAGACCAATTGATGAAACCCCATCTCAACAGTCCTAAGCATTACTGCAGAGATAAGGTCAGAAAGGGACAATAAAAGGAATACAGAGAAGCCAAAGTTATAAAACGAGATACAGCAAAGGGAAACGTGATTGAGAATCTGAGACAATGAGAGAGGTTTATTCTGCAAAGCTTCCATAAACTCTCCATACCATAAACTCGCAATTCCACTGCCAGCAGAAGGTATGGTGGAAGCGGGGGGGACGACGGGGGACGGGACACACCTTATCTACTTGAAACCACCTGCTTTATTCAGAAACCTTATTTTAAACAGTGCTAAAGGTGCGAAGAGGCTCAGGTGCCCCCGGCCCCCGCCGCAGACCCGCAGGCTGCTCTGCCCTGCTCGCGTGCGATGACAGGCCGGGCAGATGGCAAAGACGTCAATTACACAGCGAGACGGGAAGTGGACATCTGCCCTCACCAGGGCTTCCACCCAGAGACAGCTTCCCTGCTGCCAGCTTCTTAATGGGGTTTTTCCATTTTACACATGCTGACTTCACCACTGCTCCTGACGAACACTTTAGTCATATTTCTTGCTTGCCCCTTCAGTGTTGAGTCCTGGGACGATAATGACAGAGCACTGCAAACCCAAGTAATCGGAAATATCAGTTTTATATGGAGGTAGAAAACATCTAAAGAAGTGAAAAAAAACACAGTGGGGACTAAAATAAAATCATACATGGAAATAGCAGTTCAACGTGACTCCACGTTACTGGCTAAAGCAGCAGCCTTCCACCTTGCCTTCTGCATGCTAGCAAGCCACAGACTAGATGCTTTTATGTTCATTTGTCCACACAGCATGAATTTTATTAAGTGCTTTTCCATGTTGAAGCTGTGCAGTACACTTTGACCCAAGTGTTTTGGAATGATTAGAAAGATTTGGGTTAAGTTTATCTATTAATAGCATCCACAGGTTTAGGAAACACTGAAAATTTATTACTGATGCTTACAGCACTTGAGCAATTTCTTAAGGTTTCTCTCAAAAAAGATGCCCCACCCCCCCCCGTTTGTTTGAATTGTGTGGGAGAATCAAAACAACTGCATAAAAGGCCTTTTCCACAACGTCATGCAGTACATGAAATGCATTTCAGCTTTCATCTAGCATTCTTGCTTTTTTGGAGGGAGAAAAAGACTAAAAACCTGGAGAAGCACCACTTAATGAATGTTCTCTGTTCCTTATCTGCATCTGTCAGTTACTGCATGCTGAATATATTCATTTCAATTAATGCTTCCCAGAAAATTGTATTTCTCCCACAGTCATCTCCACTGCAACCAAATGGAGCATGACAGAGAACGATTTTGACACTACAAAAATAGCAGAGGCACAGAACTACTAAAGCAACAGTTTAAAAACGGCAGAACTTTAAAGAGAATGTTTTACATCTGCTTAAATGACGAGATGAAGAATGGAGAACTCACATTTGCACCAACTTTGCAAATAAGCCATTCATTACCTACTAACCTTCTGTACATTTTCTGATGCATCCAGAAAAGTAGATTAAAATCTCAAATGGCAAAACCTGTGAACAGTGTCATTTATAAACAACAGCACAGGTACCTTCAAATGCAACAAACTTGTTCAGACAGGAAAAGAAAGGTTTCCCAGTGAGGCTGAGCTGCTATTGGAATTAACCTATAGAGGCAGACCTACTGTTTTGCCTGGCCAACTCCAATGAGGATTAGATATGACATGCAGGAATTCTGCCTATGAGAACACAGCCCTATATTTTATCTCATGAGCTCCTGTCACTCTTGTCTCAAACTCTCCTCTCAAATAATGAGCACTCCTAGCATCACATTATGTAGGTCTTCACCGGACCTAAAAAGTAAAATATCACAAGGTACCACCTTGACAATTCTCTCTGCTGTTTTTCACCACTGCCATTTATTTCCCATTTAACTCTGAAACAATCCCTTGCCACTACTGCAGTTGTGCTTTAGCAGAACTTGCCCAGGCCCACCAGCTTCTATAGCTCTTACATAGCTTCTCAGAACTCCTTAAATTACAAATATTAGCCCCATTACTGCTGTTGTAACACAGAATATTCAAACCCACAATCTCATTCAACAGTTACAGTGGGATTTTACACTCTGGTTTTGGAAGTAAATTT